TTTAATTTCAGTATTGGCTTTAAGGACCGAGAGTTCATAGACTTATAGAATTTAATAGTACTATTACTTTGAGTTATTGCTTTTTAAGAAATAATTTGGATTCTATGTAATACATTTCATTAAAACTAGGTACGTACGTACGTACGTACGTACGTACGTACGTAGATACATGATTAAGGTAGCTACCAAAATGATACGTACGTAACCATAAAAAGATTGACCAAATAATTTTAGTAAGAATGCATTAAAATTGATATTGCAATTGGGTATAGATAGTCGAAATTTGGAGGTCTCTATTTAATTTAATTTGTAATATCTAAGACCTACTCAAATTCAAATATGCTCTTTTATTAATAACACTAACTATGAAAAAAATTACAGAAAAAGCTCCTAAAATTTTACATTTTCATCATAAATAGTCAAAGTTTCTGCACAAGCCAATTCAACATAAATTGGCACACATATTGTTAATTAAAGAGCTCCATTCGCAGATTACTTTAAAATCTGTCCATATAATTTGTATTTAAACATCAATTTTAATTTGTATTTTATAATTTAGGGACACATTGCTTGAAGAGAGCCAATAATTATTGCTTTTAAAAATAAAAACTATGATTCGCGCTCGGTTAAATTAATTATTAGCTCTCTTCAAGCAGTGACGATATGGTAATGTCACAATGACATGTATCGATGATGCCAATTTCTATGCCCATAGCTAAAACAAGTTAAGAATTTTGTTCTATAAAATATTACTGTATTAATGAAGTTAATATTAATGGCACGTGATTATGTAATCTCAGTATATACAATAGTTTAAAAAGAAATTAACAGTTGCTATAGAATCTTAATATTATTGGTACTTTGCAGAGTCATCAAAATTGTACGTAATTTGTATTTCTGTAATATTTGAAAAAAAGAATGAAAGACAATTACAAATATTTGTTAGAATTTTTAAACATGGGCAAGATAAAAAAACTCATTTTAGTTATAACAATCCTATAATTTAAAGAAAACTTTGTCTATTATTTTCCAAAATTTTTGAAATATTGAACAAAGTGTGCTCATCTCCATATTGTGCCATCAATTGCAGCCCAATAGGGTATCCGTCAAGTGGTGAAATGCCAAAAGGTATACTTATCGCTGGGATTCCTATAAATGTAGTTATTATAATTCTTTTACATAAGGCTATTCTTTTCAAACTGAGACAATTTATAATAAAAAAAATTTAATAGAGTTAAAGCTTACCGGCCAAATTTGCAGGTATAGTAAAAACATCATTTACATAAGCATTCACAAAACTATTATCACCATCTAAGTTTCTCGTATCATCAGTACTAGTGCATGATGACGAATTCGATAAGAAAGATGAATCTTTAGTTTTTGGGGATGTTGAAATTGCAACTGGTGTCATTATCACGTCCACGCCATTATTTTTTTTTCTCAACTGATCTGATATTTCTAAAATCTCATCATTATTGCGATTGTAAAGAGACAACCCATTTTTCACGAGATGAAGAGGATTTGGTCTTCGAAAAACGGAATCAAAATCAGATTGAACCATTTTTCGAATTTTCTGAGCACAAAGAAAATAATTTTCATAAGATCTGTGCATATTATATAATGAAAAATGAATTAGACATAAAAAATGAAACATATATATTGTAAGCATTGAATAATTTTTGTTACCCTGCAGTTAATGTATAAGTTCCTAACAAAATACGACGTTTAACTTCTTCACCGAACCCTTCGTTTCGCGTATGTGCATAAATTAATTCATCATTTTTATTAGAATCCATATCACTTCGATAACCTTAGAATAAACAATCGAAATAAGCATATTATAAAAGAAATGCAGTGCATCGAAACCTCTTAATTATACCGTATCGAACACCATCGTATCGTGCCAAATTGGATGAAGCCTCTGCTGGAGCTAAAATGTAATAAGCCGGCAATGCATATTTGGTGCTAGGACAGGATACAGACACAATTGTTGCACCATGGGAACGAAGAAGAGAGATTCCTTGTTTCCATAAGTTTTTTATCGGATCACTTAATTCAGACACATAATATTCCTATAAAAGATTGACAGAAATAAGAAGGTATTGATTATAATTAAGAATAAATTAAGATAATTATTTACTTGTGGTATGCCAACGCGTAATTCACTCAAATTAGTATAGTTTGTTTTATTAAAAGAAGCCAAAGAGGCATTTATTGAGCGCAGTTTTGGTGGAAGTGAAGATGGATCTTTCTCATCATATTTTGATATTATATCTAAAAATGAAGGGATTAAAATGACTTTCGTCCTTAAAATATTATTCAGCATGATTCACAGATATTCATAATTTCATAGATTCAACAAACCATATATAAGTTGTGTATCAAGAACATTTCGCGTTATTATACCCACAGTATCCAATGAACTAGCATATGCAACTAGTCCCCACCGTGAGCATTGACCGTATGAAGGCTTGAAACCAATAACACCACAATATGAAGCAGGCAGGCGTATAGATCCACCTGTGTCAGATCCAAGAGAGCTTTTTTATGTCACAATAAAGTATATATTTTATGAAGCGAGAACTACTATTGTGATAAATTTATTGTTGGCCTACGCGAAACACATTCCAGAAGCAACAGCAGCTGCACTACCACCAGAACTTCCACCAGCAACTCGTCGTTCTTGATCAATGGGATTATAAACTGGCCCAAATGCACTATACATATTTGCTGAACTTAACATTATTTATTTGATATTAAAGAGATAAATAAAAAATACTATGATTTCAAAAGAAAATTTATAATGATCGGTAATTAAAATTACCCCATTCCAAACTCATCCATATTCGTTTTTCCAATCATTATTGCACCAGCATCCTGAAGCAAATCTACAACGGTTGCATTAAAAGGAGATATGAAATCTTTTAAAGTGAAAGGTTTATGATTTTAATTTCATGGTTAAAGTAATTTGAAATTTCACGCAGGGCTACTCAACTTTTTAACATCTTAGATCCGCATGTGGTTGGTAATTCTTTAGTGCAAAAATTATCTTTATATGTGATAGGTATTCCATCTAAAGGTCCTTTAATAATTCCTGATATTGATATATTGCAGGTATATTCGTAAATTATCCATACAATAATGGCCTTAAAAACTCATCTTTGGTAAATTAGTAACCTTTAATAAATCTATCATCTGCTTCTTTAGCCTTTTCTAATACCGCACTTTCATTTTGCACTTTTATGAATGCATTCAAATGAGAATTATGTTCCGTTATTTGGGAAAAACAATCTTGGACTAAAGCTGTTGATGTTACTTTCTTCTGTTGTAAAAGATTCCGAGCCTATACATTGATGTTATTCGGATTTTATACGGTACGTAATTAGATCAAAAATTAAACTTTCTGATATTAACCTTTGTCACAGATAGAAACGATAATTTACATTTCTGATTTGTTAATGTAGATTTGCGGATAAATTTTTTATTGGAAAAGTTTGAAAGAGAAATAATTCGTTGAGAACAACCCATGAGTACTGTAATTTACGCAAAAAGACGTACAGTATCGGTATGTATAGCGATAGATATTGATTTGATCGTACTACTATAATCACATGCTTAACCACGACATATATCCTGTTTTTTTACGATCATAGTAATCTGCTGGATACATAAAACTACTTTTTCGATGTCATGAAGATTCAAAGAGGTTAAAGCAAATTGCTTTGCCAAAAGCAATATTTGTTTGTTAAACTATATACTGTTTATAAAATAAAGTCTCGCTAAGTGCAACCACTCTTTAAATGCACTCAAAATTCTGGCCAAAATATATATTTGACCTCTATAAATGCAACGTTTCATGTTAAAATACTAGATGCTTTGTTCGATCAAGCAGAATATCTAAATATTTCTTAAATTCAATTTTTTTATAACACCAATTATTTGTTAGAGGTTTAAGACTGTCTGGTTTTGCTAGCAAGTATATCTGAAACAACGAAGATTTTCTTTTCTATAGAACAAAAATTTTATTAAGGTTTAACTACAAAAGTATTCTTTTTCAGATCGATCTGAAAATAAGCATAAATTCTAAATTTACTCCTTATTTCCTTATTTCGAAGAGATTTAACAATTTTTTGAGCTGTTTTACATCGTCATCAGACGGTACTGTATGTAAAGTACAATAGATGTTAATTTCAAAATTTCAAAGCTTTTTATATTAGGCCTCACAAGGTTAATGTGTTTTGTTTTGCATTACTCGCCGACCAAATTTTGAAGAGTTCAAAATTTTTTTTTTTTTACAATAACTATTTTACAACAAAATAATTATTTTAATTGTTTTAATGGTTTTAATGAATTTAATTCAAAAAAATAATAATACTTATTTAATCAAAGGCGTAGAAGAATTACTCGAGTCTAGAGGCATGGTCTTAACACTAAAAAACATTACTCGGAACATTCGGGATGTACCTCCATGAAATCTGATTGGTTTAATTCAATAGTTTACAGGTGCATGAGTAAAATTTGTAATTTATTTAACACATTATTGTCGAGATGATGCTAAAATTTGAACTTATTTGTTTGAAGTTAGGGGTTAAGGTTGGAGTTCATGATAAAAGGATTTTAATATCATAGAAAGACTTACCAATTTAATTTTATATTTTTTTTGTACAGTTTAAAGTACTTTTTACAAAAAATAAAACTAAAAGAATAAAATAAAAAAAGGTATACAGAAAGTTTTATTAGGGTTGTAGAATTCTACAATTGAAATAATCAAAATCCCCTTTATTTTAGTGAAGTTAGCATGATATTAACCTAGTTCTATCTATTTTTCAGAAGGCTAACTTCTCTAAGAAGAAAAAGGGATTTGGATTATTTTTAATGGTGGATTCCTACAGCCCTAATGAAACTTTTTATATACTTTTTTCTTTATTTATTCTTTGTAGGTTTAATGTTTTTAAAAGTACTTTAATCTGTATAAATAACATAAAATTAAATTGATTTAAACAGCCAATCGTATGAAAGTCTTTCTATGAAGTTTTAATAGGCTTTATATTTTCAAATCAAGACACCAAATTTCAGAATCCTCCATCTCAAAATCATTTCCAACATTTATTATCACATCAAAACAATTAAATAACGCTTTCATATTTTAAACCGTTTTAAACAAAAAAGTTCAACATATAGGCTGTTTTTTACACAACCCCAAAATTAAGGGGTATTGGCCAACTAGTTAAGGTGGAATTAAACTCATTGTATAACGATATAAAATTACGTACGTATGTACAGTACCTACGCACGAAATTAGATGTTTTTATTATGGTGCCGACATCTTTTCCTTTTTCCCGATAATCAAAACTGAACTACAGAAAAACACTATAGGAATGTCCAAGATAGTGTAACGAATTTAATTTTATAATCTTACCCTTTTTGGTGTAATTGATTATTTAACTAAATTAGTATCGTGATT